TGTCTTGTTTGTACATGCTGTTTCTCTTGAAAACATATTTTGCCTTCCTCCCTTCCTCTTTTCCTTTTTCTTTCCCTCCTTCCCTCTCTCCCTTCTTTCTTTCTCAGACTGAATAGTTTGTGTACACTATGATAGGCATTCCTCTTCCATTTTTCTTCTGAACAATTCGTTCCTAAGGGGACAACGAAAGGAAAGAACCTGCCGACAAGGCGTGCTCAGGGGCACAGAGCCTGCGCAGATTGAGGACTGTTGGAGCAGGGCAGTCTGGGGCCAGAGGCAGAACCCAGAGAGAAGACAGGCGCACCTGGGGAGCAGCCTGCCTGAGTTGTGAGAGCTAAGAACATGCTGACAGGGCCTCCTGAAGTGAGCAGCCTGGCAGTTAGAAATCCAAGATGGGGTGAGGAGATCTTCTACACAAGAGGGAGACGCAGGATCTGGTGTCAAATGTCAGAATGAGAATGCTCGCCGGGCAGTGGTAGCACACGCCTTTAATCCCAGCACTTGGGAGGCAGAGGCAGGCGGATTTCTGAGTTCGAGGCCAGCCTGGTCTACAGAGTGAGTTCCAGGACAGCCGGGACTACACAGAGAAACCCTGTCTTGAAAAACCAAAAAAGCTCTTGCTTCTCTCTCTTGCCCACTTACTCCCGTGCCTGCAGGTTGCGGTCTCCCCTCCCCCTTTCCTTCCCCCTCTCTCCACGTGGTCATGGCCGGCCTCTACTCCTCTACCTCTCTGCTCTCTCTCTTCTCTCTCCTCTTGCTCTCTCTCTCTCTCTCTCTCTCTCTCTCTCTCTCTCTCTCTCTCTCTCTTAATAAACTCCCCCTCATGGGAATAAAAAAAGAGAGAGAGAGAGAGAGAGAGAGAGAGAATGCTCAAGAATCGAGTGTGGGGTGGAAGGCAGTGTAGCCCATGAGAAGAATCTGAGATCAAGCCTGCCCTCTAAATAGTGACAGAGCTGGCAGCCAAGGAAGGTGGTCTTGTGTTGAAACCTAAAGCTCACACGACACAGGGTCATGCAGAATGGATGAGAGCAGTGTCCTGGACCAGAGTCCAAAGAATGCCCAAAAAGCAGAGGATGAACCCCAGGAGAGATTAAGGGATGACAGGGGAGATGAATGGTAGGCGCAGCTTGGTGGATGAGTAAAGTGAGTGGGCCCACCCTGTGAGAGGCCGAGCAGAGGAGTGTGGAAGGGTGCTGAGCTGTTTGAGGAAGGTTCAGGAGGCACCAAGGGAGACTCCTGGGTAAGGGCAGAGTTGAGAGAGGACAGATATGGTGATGAAAGGTCAGTTTACATACAGGGCAACTGACTGTCTTACTTAGGGTTACTATTGCTGTGATGAAACACCATAACCAAAATCAACTGGGGAAGAAAGAGTTTATTTCACACACAATTCATCATCAAAAACAGTGAGAGCAGAAACTCAAGCAGGGTAGGAACCTGGAGGCAGGAACCAGGGCAGAGGCCATGGAGGGATGCTGCTTAATGGCTTGCTCATAAAGGGCTGTTTAGCTTGCTTCTACCAGGGGTGACTCCATCCACAAGGGGCTCAATGGATTGGGCCCTCCCCCATCAATCACTAAATAAGAAAACGCCCTCCAGGCTTGCCTGCAGTTCAATCTTAAGGAGGCAGTTTCTCAATTGAGACTTCCTCTGCTAATAACTCTTGTGTCAAGTTGACATAAAACTAGCCCAGCACAGTAACCAGATAGTTTAAATATCTTCTAACAAGGATTTATGTTTGTGTCTGTGTGAGTGTAAGCCGTGTGTGTTTGGCTGCCCTAGGGGGCCAGCATAGAGGAATGGATCCCCTCAGGCTGGCTGGCTGAGTACTGGGAACCTAGCAAGTTCAGGAGTAGTTTAGTCTATCCTTTATCTACTTTAAAATTAGGTATTTTAGTGTTTTATTTTGGGGACAGAATCTTGGCTGGTTTCTCACTCACCATCCTGTGAGGACTACACCCAGGCTCCTGAGTTCTAGACCCACACGAGGGCAGGCAGCACCAGCATTACTGATATATATGTTATTTTTTTTTCCTATGTATCCTATAATCCAACACACAATTTCCAAGTATTTTCTGTTTTTTCACATTTCCCTTTATTTTTCTGAGACAAGTCTTGCTAACAGCATGGCTGAGCTAGACTGAAATTTCTGATGGATCCCTGCGCCTCAGACTCCTAAGTGCTAGGATTACAGGCGTGTAACACCATGGCCAGCTCTTTCCAGTCTTTTTGATGCAATTGTTTGAAGCACAAATTTAATTCTGATGAGGCTTAATCCATCTTTTTTCCCTGTCATTATTTTAGAAACAATCACATAATCCTGCCCTGGTTATCAAGATTGTCTCCTGTGTTTTCTAATGACTCCAGTTACTACTGATCCACAAAACACACCCCCGAAGTGCTTCCAGAAAGGGTTAGGGATTGTCTTCTAGTGGATAGAAAACTCATTACACTTCATTAGGAATTTCCAGGCAAATAAATTTCCAGTCAGTGGGTAAATTACACTTTTGAATGTGCAGTGGGTAGGCTCAGAAGACAGAAACCATCTATCTTCTAGAACATGCCAAAGACAAAGCCAGTGTTAGCATGAACTGCATTAATATAATTTGCTTCTCTGCCCAGTTACCACTAGAAAGGACTCAACTGCAGAGATTTCTTTTTTTTTTTTTTTTTTTTTTTTTTGTTTTGTTTTTCTAGACAGGGCTTCTCTATGTAGCCCTGGTGTTAGTATTCTGTCTAAACTCCACCTCCACAGTTATCTGGCAACACCCAGGTATGCTCCTCCCCACAGTTACCTGGCAACAGCCAGGTAGGCCTGCCCATTATAAAAGGGACTGCTTGCTTCCTCCTCTCTCTCTTGCTCTTTTGCCTCTCGCTTCTGTCCCCTAGCCTCTCCCCCTTCCCCCTCTCCACGTGGTCATGGCTGGCCTCCACTTCTCTCCTCTCTCTCTGCCATCTTCTCTCATTTCTCTCCCCCAACCTTTGCCCTATCTCCTGAATAAACACCCCCAGTCCCCCCAACCGTTTGGTCCGGTGTCTGTTCTAAGCTGCATGCCGAAGTCTAACACCTGGCTGTCCTGGAACTCACTCTGTAGACCAGGCTGGCCTCGAACTCAGAAATCCACTTGCCTCTGTCTCCCAAGTGCTGGGATTAAAGGCGTGCACCACCACTGCCCGGCCGAGATTTCTCTTAAGACATACAAAACATTAACACCTGTATTTAAAAAAAAAAAATGTTGTGTCACTAATCACCAAGGAACAAACCCACGATGAGCTCACATGGCTATTATCAAGATGAAAAGTAGCATGTGTTGGTGAAGGTGTGGGGAAGGGAACTCTGTCATGTTGGGAAGGAATGTCAATTAGTATAGCCATTATAAAAGGACCATGAAAATAAGTAAGGGCTGAGGTCATGGCTGAGCAGCTAAGAGTGCATACTTAGGTTCCAGATAATCAGGGTCAATTCCCAGCACCTTAAATCTAGCAACTTACAATTGCCTAGAACTCCAGCTCCAGAGGTGTCAATGCTCTCCCTCTTTAGGCCTTAGTTACTTACATACAAATGGCTCACAAGCCAGGGGACACAGCGCGCATACACACACACACACACACACACACAAATAAATGTAACTAAAAAAGTTATTTGGTAATAAGTGTTCACGAATGCTATACAAATAAACCGTGAGAACACGTTAGTGAACTAAATGGGTCTCCAGAGGCTACACAGTGAATGATTTCACTGTAAAACCCCGTCCCATCCCCCAACCCACCCCTCATAAGGGCAAAAATAAACACACAGAAAGTGGTTGCCTGAGACCAGGGGATCAAGCAGTAATCAAGGGCAGGGCGTGATATTCAAAAGGTCAGATAGTGATAGCTTTAATGAGTATGAGTCACTGAACTGAACATCTCAAACAGGTGAACTGCAGGTAGGTAAAACGGAGGATGCTTCAAATAAAGTTGCTAAAATTGATGTTTTCTCTAAACAATTATATTTTCTCTAAACTCACAGGCACATGCACAAACAATGCCTGGTAAAGTGGTAAATTTTTTTTCCCCAATAAAACTTTTATCACCAAAGTTTTTCAACTATCACTTTAATGTGGATTACTTAATAGGACAATTAACTGGATAGCAAAGGGGGTAATACCAGCCAATCTCCCTGCTCTTTCTACTCTTAGAAAACTAAGATGTTAAGTTACCAAGAGGGGGACAGTCTAAGAGCAGCTCGCCGAAGCACCATAGTCCACCTCATCTTTTTCTGCAAAACCTATCACAGAGGCCACCTAAGAATACACCTTGCTTTGGGTGGCATCAACTGGCCTTTTTACCACATTGTGGTTGCTTGTAAGTGTCCCAGGAATGGTCACTTCACGGAGCAATTGGCCAACAGTAATGGAGAAAACCTTGCTGCTCTCAACCTGGACCAGATCCATTGGCTGTGGGGATCACCTCTCTAAACCTATGGAGAAACTTACGGGGTTTTCTGGCTTCCTCACTCCCCCCACCCCACCCACCCATATCCGAGATGATCACTAATTCAGAGTCTTCGGAGGTAGAGGGCAGGAGAAATACTCTTACTGTCTCAGAAAACAGAATCAGAACCCAGAGAGACAAGTAAGCGGACTTCAGCTAACACAGCTGTGACCTGTAAAATTTGTGCATAGGTCAAGGGCCTGAAAACTTGTGCATTGACTTTTGTATTGAGTTTAAGGATCAATAAACGGAGTTTGTCAAGGCAGGAGGATCCGTTCAAGGAATTCTCAGCTTCACACTTAGAGCTATTACTTGCTACATAGTGAGTTTAAGGCCAGTTTGGTCTAAATGAGACCCTATCTTTAAAAAAAAAAACAAAAAACAACAAAACCAAAAACCTCTCCATTTAGTGCCTACATGCTGGGCATCCATAGCTAATAAATATTAAGGTGGAACTACACATAATAGCTTACAGTTAGAAAAGGAAGAAAATCTTCAAGTTACAGTATTAAAAACACAGGAAATAAGCTGCAAAATATTTTTATTGTATAAACAGTCAACAGAGGTCAACAATGCAAATGTTATCTCAGGATATTTCCCCTTGGTTCCTGAACTTCCAAGTTTCTATCAGCATTTCTCTGATTTTCATGGTCCTTTCAAACATGCTTGCTGACTACATGTATATGTTGTTTTGAGATGGAACACAAACCCATCTGATAGTAAGACCAACCAAAACAAAAGGCAGGAACAAAGCCCTCAAGCTATGTTCTACTGTGCTTTTAGTCACATTTCCTACTGGGAGACCTATATATATAGTTCATACACTTTCAAAACTGAAAAGTAAAATTAGTACTGTAACCACATAGTGAGATACCAAGGACTCTTCCATTCACAAGTTACTGAATCAAACTTCAGGACATCTGCAGAACTATGGGTTTTAAAATTTGAAAAGGGGGTGGGGTTTGAAAAGAACTCTGGGGAAGAAAAAAACAAAACTACTTTCAGCCTGCTGGATTCCCACATTTGAAACCCTAGTTATGGTAGTATGCCATCGGCCAGAATGTGCATGGCACGTCCAGTGCTATGCGGTGAGCGGGCCTACTGCCTAATGGCTGCCTCCAAACATAAGGAGAAAAAATACCAGTTCTCAAAGCAATCTTAACTGACGGTCAAAATTTAGAATATCAACTGCTACTCTATTTCCATATACTGCAGAATGATTTCAGAAACAGATTAAACATACCATTGTTTTATAAAAATAAAAATTGGGGCTTCATAAACACCGCGTTGTAAATCAAGATAATGTCACAAAAAAAAAAATTGACAGTGCTTGCAGACAGGGAATCTAGTCAAACTCTGATCTCTTCCAGACCTGTAAGACTCCATATTCTACTGATAATTTTCTTAAAACTTTTCGTTTTTGCCAGGCGGTAGGTGGATTTCTGAGAATTCAAGGCCAGCCTGGACAACAAATCGAGTTCCAGGACAAGCAAAGCTACACAGAGAAACCCTGTGTGGAAAATAAGGGTTTCCTCAGATTTTTCCTTTTAGAAATAATGTAAAGCAAATAAAGTTATATGTAAAACTACCTTAGGACAGTAGAAGCTAGTGGTGGCTATAGTAGTGGTGAATTTCAAATCCAATTCCGAACAGTGGCAACTGGCTAATTTTAAACATATATGTGACCATTATAATTTGGTGCCTAAAAGATGTAAAAATATAATCACAACTATTTTATGAAAAATATGTATTCATTTAAGAGTGGAGATACCTCTAAATTTAGTTCCTCATAGCTGTCAAATAAATATTCTTAACTACATCCGTCAAACAGACTTTCTCCACCTGTAAGAGCACCAGTGTGTTTACATCAATCACAGAAGATCAATCACAGAAGGAAGAAGGTAGGGTTTGCGTTTATTTCAGTGACAATGCTGCCACAGTAAGGCACCACTCGGTATTGAGAAGAGAAAATAAAGACTTTCCATACCATGTTCTGTCACTGATGTCTTAACCATTACACAGAATGCTAGGGGAAAAGCCACAGACTCAATCACATCACACTCTTGTTCCCATCATTCTGTGCTTTTAGTTTTTCCGTATCAGGGGGAAAATGTAATACAAGATCTGTTAAATAAACATCTTTTCCAACTTACAAGAAAATAATCTAGAAATACGGAGAGTAGAAAGGCAAGACCCTATCGGATGTATTTGCAACGGTGTGTCCCTGTGAGAGTGCAGAGAGGAGCAGAGAGCACAAGGCTGCTTTCTATAGGATACAGAGAGGCACAGAGGGTAAGACCTTCTCAGGCAGTCATGGCTAGAGCAAAACTGAGAGAGCCCGGAATTTTCCATGTCCCCCAAAGCTGATTCTCAGGCAGTCAATTAAATATTTCACAGCATGTCCTTAGTCACTGCTATCATCGTCATCGTCGTCATCAGATGCGTCATTTAAAGGAGACTTCAACGACTGACTGTAAGAGTCTGATCTAGTCGGCTGACATGTGGCCATGTCCCCAGTGGAAAGCAGGTCATAGCAGAAGTCACAAATCCTCACAGGCTTAGAAGACTGGCTGGGAAGAAGAAATCTCTTTTCCGAGCAGGGACCACAAACAACAAAGCCACATTTGCGGCAATGGTGCCGCCGATTCACTGGTGTGAATTTTGCTTTCTGACAGCGCATGCACACAGTGGCCTCCGAGTCAGGAACCCAGACAGCAGCGTGCTCATTGCTAGGCGTCTTCCCACTTTTGGAGAGTAAATCAGTGACACACTTATTTATGTGGTTCATCCACTCTGACTTCTCCGTGGCAGTGGCAGCATAAACTGCAAAGGACTTAGTTGGTGTCTTAATAAGCCATCCATTCCGTAATTCCCCTTCATCTTTGATGGAATCAATGGTGACATTTTCCAAGGGAATAATATGTTGTTTGTTGTATTTTTTCTTCTGGATAACAATATTGCCATATACAAGAATATCATTAAATAAGAAAAACTGCCTCGCTTTAGGCTTCTTCCTGCACAGCTTAGTCAATACTCCTTCTCCAATAAGCACCCGTCCAGGGATGGTCAAGGGCTGACCGGCTGCTCCAAAACAGTTCTCCACAATACTTATGCGTCTGGTATTTGCTTCACTGTTTGCCAGGCGATCCACCATCTTTTGCTAATGACCTTTAGGGGAAAAAAGAAAAGAAATGAGCATACAGAAAGTACAAACTCCTATAAGGGATAACAAAATGAGATCTACCAAGACACTGATTTTCCCAAAGGCAGTAATTCAGTTGTCTTTCCTTCTAAAATAATCACCAAGCACACTGAAGTGAAAACATCTTCAGTGCTTACAGTAATCAGCACTTCTACCACATCCACACACACAACCCTAGTCATAGTCTCCCAGCCTCGACTGGCCTAGACCACAGTCCTCCTGCCTCTACAGCCAGAGAGGGGTGACGTGGGCCATTATACCCAGCACAAGTAAAACAACAGAACAAGTAAAAACAAGTTACTTCCGCGAAACAATAAACCCAATTCTATGAAATTGAATCTCAATGGAGAACAGAATCCCTAATGAACACTTTAAAAACCATGACTCCAGTTTTCCCAATAAACTACACATAATCCCTGAGCCTAGGCCCTAATGTTCTCACCTGGATTATCCCCAAAGGCTTCCCAACTGCTTCCAGCCTTCCCTTCTCAATCAACCCATAGGCAGTGATCTCTAAAATACTAAACTGTTCCTGCTGTTACTTGAAATGATTCCCCTTAATCTTTTATTTTTTTCGATTTTTTTTTTTCGTTTTTTTTGAGACAGGGTTTCTCTGTGTAGCCCTGGCTGTCCTCGAACTCAGAAATCCGCCTGCCTCTGCCTCCCAAGTGCTGGGATTAAAGGCGTGCGCCACCTCCGCCCGGCTCCCCTTAATCTTTAAAATATATAACATTTAGCATAGTGTGTAAGGCTCTTAACTACCTGGTAGGTTTTTGGTTTTAACTGTTTAATTTTTGAGATTGGTTCTTACAGTACTTAGCCCAAGCTGTTCCTGAACTACCATGCCCCTACCCCAGACTCCTAAGTCCTGGAACAACAGGCACTTGTCACCATATCCAGCTATTCCTGGACTTTTGTTCTCTCCACCTCAACATAAGTCATTCCCTGCCTAAAGCATAGTATTTGAAGAGAACCCTAGTGTGTGTAAGTGGATCTCACTGCTGTCTTCCTTACTGCTTACTGCTTACAGCTCCAGCCACCTCTGAATCACCCCCATCCTTTGCTAGCGTCGCTCCTCTAGTACACAGCAGCAAAAATAAAAATAAATAAAAACTCTATCCTCCACATTTGTCACACTCTATGTATTTCTTAGCTTCTTTTTTTACCAAAGGACTGAAATCCACGCCCACCATGGCTGCAGTGACATCTAAAGGCAGGCAGAGGAGACCATCTAACTGTCATCTTTGACATGATCTGAAGCACCAAATATACTCAAGATAAATGAGAACATTTTAACAATGTTAAAAAAAAAACTATTAATCCAATGATCATAAATCTAATCTTTAGATCCAATATTGACTTCTCTTAAGTCCCTGAATGGTGGTTTACTTCAACCACTAACCTAGTACTACTACAGTAACAACCAAACACACTGAAGATCACCAAAGTTTGAAAAGGGAAAGAAGTGTGACTGTTACACACTCAGCTCACCAACTGATGACACTGTAACCTGTCTTGGCTTCCACTAATAGCTTATTATAAGTCTGGTTATTCCTGAATCACAAAGAGTGGCACTGGTATGCTTGAGGATACTCCCAACAGTGAACAAGACACTGGATGGCTTCAAACCTTGAAGGTCTAAACTAAGTGACCAGTCCTTTCTCAGTCTCCGTCCCCTCCCCTGACTCCGTCTTTTGACACTGGGTACCACAGTTCAGTGATAGAGTGCTCAACTAGGATGCACAGGCATGGGCTCCACCTCCAGCTACATAAGGAAAGCAAAAAGTCTATCATCTTATGAAAAAGGTATCACAGAAGGCCAGTAAGGTGAGTAAAGATGCTTGCTGCCAAATCTAATGACCTGAGTTTAATCCCCAGGACCCACAGGATAGGACTGAATCCCAAAGATCTCTGACTTCCACAAGCACACTTTGGTAAGCAAGGTATCTACATGCATGTGCTCCCCCCCCAAAAAAAAATAAATGTATAAAGTAAATTACAGAATTAAAATAATGTGCAAAGTCTAACTTCATTTATAATTAAAATACCAAAATGTTTTTTATCAGATTGACAAAAAAGAAAAAAAAAGAATAAAGAAAAAGGAAATTTAGCCAGGCGTTGGTGGCGCACTCCTTTAATCCCAGTACTTGGGAGGCAGAGGCAGGTGGATTTCTGAGTTCGAGGCCAGCCGGGTCTACAGAGTGAGTTCCAGGACTATACAGAGAAACCCTGTCTAAAAAAAAAAAAAAAGAAAAAGAAAAAAAAAAAAAAGAAAGAAAGAAAAAGAAAAAATCCTAAGATGTAGTATATGTGACAATATAGGGCAACAAGTGTTTGTTTGTTTGTTTTTTGTACTTTACAGAAAATAGGTATAACCACCAAGTTGATATCCAATCAAAAGAAATTTTTGACCAATAAGGTGGCACAATGGGTAAAGGTCTTTGCCACCAAGCTGAACAGCCTGAGTTTCACATCAGGGCCCATATGAGCTGACTTGTGACTTTCACGGACAGGCCCATCCACCAACACAAATAAACAAATAAATGTAATAATAATAATAATAAAATTGACTCAGTATATAAAGGTATGTACAGAATGTTCAGTATAGCACTATTTATGACAAGTAAGCTACAATGCATCTAATCAAACCCTAAGCATGAGACAAACCTAAACAAGGCAACTGAAATACACTCAAGACAACCAAGTGGGGAGAAGTGAATACCCCATCATCCCTGCTAATACACACTGTATCTCTCTCAACAGACCCAAGCACTGCAGGTTTTAAGATACTCAGGTTTGAGGTGCCACTGGTAAAAGGCTCCAATTAACCATAGCATATCCTCAATAAGACATTCCAACTTAGAGACATAAAACACAACTTAAAAGTTTATCTTAAGATTAAGTACACAAGCCGGGCGTTGGTGGCACACACCTTTAATCCCAGCACTTGGGAGGCAGAGGCAGGTGGATTTCTGAGTTCGAGACCAGCCTGGTCTACAGAGTGAGTTCCAGGACAGCCAGGGCTATACAGAGAAACCCTGTCTCGAAAAGCCAAAAAGTACACAACAAAAGCATAATCATAGCTACTTATTAAGTTTGAAAGAACAGAGAAACTAAAATTAAAAATCTAACAGTATCTACAGTAGAAACTTATCTATGAAAAGTATTGGAAGTGAAGTTTTTAGACTTCACATTCAAAACATGTTTCTCAGACGTGACATACATGCATCCCCCCAACTCTCCTTCCTGGTCTCAAACTTGTTATGTACCCAGAGACAGATTTCGGGTGTTCCTGTTTTTATCCAGGCAGTGGTAATGCCTATAATCCTAGCACCGGGACAATCAGGAGAACAAGGCCAGTCTGAGCCATATGGAACCCTGTTTCTAAACACCAAAGGAAAAGGAAAGAGCCAAACTGATGTATCAAAAGTCACCAACTCTATGACCAAGAAAGTGCTAAGGGAGCACCAGGCTACTCTAGGCAAAAAGGACAGTTTCATAGAGAACTGAAGCAACAATAATAATTTTTTAATGAGGAAGAAGTTCCTGAACAAAATCTCAGGCATATTAAATTGTAAAATTAATTGCTGTTGTGGTTAATGTGCGGATGCGTGTGGATGTCAAAGAACAACTCTGCAGAGTAGGCTCTCCTTCCACACTCATGTGAAGTACAGGCCAGCACAGCAAACACCTTTACACACTGAGCCAGCTTGTGAGCTCTCCCCCACTTAAGAATGATGCAACCTAGAGAAGTTTGGGCATTATTAACCAGTACTTGGCTACAGCAAATGATTTTCAAGATCTGGCAATTACACATAAATATACTACATACTACAAGGATACAAAACCACATTCTCATAGTTCTTCCAATGATAAATGATGAATCTTATTATCTCCACTTATTTTTAATAAGTATGGCAGCAACCTTCTGATTTCACTGCCAGGCTGCGACCTGTGCTGAAAAGCAATGGGCATGTAGAACCTGAGGCCCCTGGCTTCAAACAGACCCTTTCATTATCCTCCTCAGTCCTGAAATTTCCATGTGTCTGACATGAAAAGCAACAGACTATAGAAAATATACAAAATGTTTTACACACATACATCAGACTGGAAGCACACACTAGCTATGCTGGGGTTGGGGTAGAGTGAGTGGGGGCAGTAGTGAAGAAAGTCACCAAAAAGGGCCTAAGTATCAACACGACCGGAGTTACTACTAGAGACCCCAAAGCAACATTCTTTGGTAAAACAGGTCCTTTGGCTCAATGCCCAAATTTACCACCAGCTCAAGCAGGCACTAAGAACTCCAGACAACCAGTGTGCAAGAGCATTGGTCTTCCAAGGATAGAGTCTACTACACCCTCAAGGCCTTGATGAGAAAAGAGGGCCACAGTATGGTCCAATCTGAATGCTGTCTGTCTGCTTTTCTTGGGAAAGAATACACAGACTATAAAGGACTAGGAAGAAAAGACTTCCTATTCTCTGGCAGACAAGAACCCCATTTACACTGTCCATGCATGCCTTTAACACACTCAGTGGGATACGCTTACCACCTGTTAAAATGTAATACTGGGGGTGGGGGGGGGGGAGCAACACGAACCTAGAAGACAAAGGATATCTCTTTACAACTGAGAACAGACCCACCTGTCATGACTATTGTGCTAGTTCTTCCTGCTGACTATCAGTGCTTCTCATCTCATCCTTACTATAACACATTTCTGTCCTTCCTTCTGAGACAGCTCTCTCACTCTGTGGACCTGGCTGGTTGGGAGCTCACAGAGATCTACCTGCCTCTCCCTGAAGTTAAAGGCATGTGGGACTATGTCTGGACAAATTTACTTTCTTACTCATACTTATGACTTCTGATATTAATAAAGTCCAATATTTAAATTTAATGGGTTACAGTAGGAAAAAAACAAACAATAAACTATGAGCCAAAAGGTCTGTTTTAAAAAAGAAACAGCAGCAG